ATAGTCGGGCTCACCTCCACACACAGCTTGGGCTCTGGAACCTTACTCCTCGAGAGAGGCTGGACTCTCTACTACTCTGGAGTTGCCCACGGTGACGACGGTTTGCTGTCTATATATGGCAACTTTAATAGTGCAAACAATTAGAATTAATATCATGACAGGACACTTTATAAGTTTATGGATAAAGGATCAGGATTATGAGGGTCTCTGAAAAAATCAGTCTTATTGTACCTTTCTTTCTCTTCCTACATACTCAGAGCTTTATATACTGAAGACTATGCAAAATATCAATGCCAGTAATAGCACCGAAGAGCTAATATAGTACTTCCCACACTGTGCTATCTGAACAGTATTGTTGATTCTGCTTATGTAGTTCAGGGGATGTGACACCATGAATATGATGTTCTTACATATTTTTCTCTTACCTGGATCCTTCCTTTACCTTTTTTCTATCTATTACACTATCTCTTTCCCCTCTTGCAATGTAAGAAATTAGCTGGGATCTATTGTTGGCCCCATACCTTTCTGTGTATCATCATTTCTCCTATTAGTCATCCACCCATCCCCTTACCTCCTTGGAGGGGACCCTGGATCCCTTCCTTCGTGACCACCAGCTTTCCACCATGGCAATGAGGCAAGAGAGCACCACGCCTGCTGCAAGGACGCAGAAAACGCCAGCAAAGCTGTGGATGTCCAGGGCGCTGCCACGCTGCCGTGTCTGAACTGAGCTGTAGAGGTCACAGGGGCTGTCCTTGGGCCACCACTTGAGTTTCAGTATATCCATGTCGCCATTCTGCTGGAGCTCCAAGATTCTAGGGTACAGGCAGGTGACACAGGCATGTAAACATATAACTAGCTTCATAATATTAGCCTACATATTGCTCAATTAAAGTTCCATATGTGTTGTGAAATCAGACAATTTAAAACTCTGTTTTTCATAACTTTGTAACTTCATGTTTCTGGCAACTGAAAGTGGTCAGCACATGCAGCATGCAAAGGCAATCATACATGAATGAATATGTAAGTGCATGAATGAGCAACAAGCCAGCAGCAACATTTAGAGGAGTAAGACAGTTATTCATGATGAGCGCTGTAAATGGGTTATATAACTGATGGTGTCTTAGTGCTATTTTAATTATTACAGAGTCAAAATTAGTCATATCCATTCATAACAATCATGGAGAATGAAACATGCTTGCACAAGTCAAAGTGCACAAAACGTGACAACACTGCAGCTTTTACTGCAGTTGCTATAACTTTTCTCTTCCATTTGAGGGCAGTGTTAGCCAGTTAAAATCTTCCCTGATCCCTGACAACCATATTGGGCTGTCAAACTCATTATGGCTAACATTAATATGTTTTGCAGCACAGCATGAGTACACTGCCACAATGTCATTATGCAGCCTAGCTTTAGTCCCACGATTGATGGCTTCAGAGAGGATACAGCTCAGAGGTTGATGGGGTCCCTCTGTTAGCCTTCAGCTTTTTATTTAACTGGGTCGTTCATTTTAGTTTGGAGGAGAGCTGCATACAGACACAGATAGACAGCCAAGCATACAGAGGCTCTATTAGCATTCAGCTTCAGCAGGCAACATGGCATGCAGGAAAGAGGGGCACAGGGAAAGGGAGAGACAAAAAAGTAAAAGGCAATCTGGGAATGTGATGTGTGTGTGTGCATGTTTCTGCATGTACCTCCCTCACAGACACATACACACCCCCCCCACAGATAAATTAAGCTACTGTGCTGACACCTGCTTTGAATGATCTCATGTCATTCATTGACCATTATCAGTTGTTACCATAGCTGTGGGTTAGCAGGTACCGACTCCATCTCCTAGTTGGCTCAGTAGGCTGTTGTTATGCATCAAACATTCACCATTATGGTTATAATAAACACAAAGAATAGATTTAGGGACAAAAACACCCAAGAACCACTGTTGTGGGGTGGTTACACTGGATAGGCACCATTTTAATCCTGAAAATCACCTCTGCTTTTCAAAATTGTATATATTTGCATGAATTTGATTATTCACAAGCAATAAGTAATACATGGAAATGAGTTTAAAAGTGAAATTAAAATGAAAGGTAAAATTAAAAATAAAACCTCAAGATTCCTATTAGTGAAACTATATTATTGAATGCATGATCAGGGAAACTCCTGGTTTGGGAATGATCATGGTTTGGGTTAAATAATGTATTAAAGTAGTAAATTTGAGTATCAACTTTATCACTCTTATAACTAGATGTCACCTATTATGTCGATGTAGATGTGTCGAATATATGAACCCTCTTGTCTACTTGTAGCTGTAGCTTGCCCCTACTGAAATAGAATTATAAGCTTGAAAACAAATTTAAAGGGGTGTTCAAAATCAAATCGGCTCAAGCTGATTGACACAATCAGGGCAGATACGTATTCCGAAAGGAGCACGTTTACAAACTTGACTGCAGGATTCATACATGTGTACATCGAGAGAGATGACTTCACTGGGGCAAACGCCTCTTTCAAGTTTAACGGCAACATGCTGATATGAAAGAAAGTGCCCATTTCTTATCTTCCGTTTTCCTCATACAGAATACACAAAATAGACTGAAATCAATCACGACATGCAAATGAGCCCCGCAGACAGTTTACATAATTAATTTCATCCACAATAGCCCAGAAAACATAGCTCATTTCAATATAAATCAGCTCAACAGGCTCAGCACGCTGCTGTGTAACCATGTTACTCTCATTTAGGGACATTGTCTTATGAAATGGTAGTTGTGGTTGTAATAGAAGGGAAAAACTAATTCAAACAGCAAATCCACCAACAGTCACTCTAACAGCAGATTATGTCCAACAACTGCTGACTTGATTTTGAGATTGTTTGGTTCAGATGAGCACAGATTAGTGTGAAGATTCGATCAGACTTTGTGTAGATTATATGCAATATTGGCTCAAAACAAATGATAGCAAACTGATCTGCACTGATTCCCAGATGCTTAATACCTGCTGTTCAGCCATAGCAGAGTAGCAGCAGCACTGGCCTAGATACAGTATATGCCTTCATATCAATCCTGCATCTGTTCTTTCATAGTGGTGCAGTGACATTTGTTCCTTCCAAACATGTGACTATATTACTTTTGGACTGTAATACTGTATAACATACAGTAGGACTAGTGCCTCTGAAATTGTTTCATGCTTGACCACTCCTTGCACCCACTGAGTTCCAGATTGCTGATTGCTGGAGGAGCAGTAACACAAAAACACTTCAGTGTTGCGTGCGGGCCACACTGTTGATATGCAAGTTGATATACTAAGATTAAGCGTTTGAACAGTATCTCTGTTTAATCAAAATTTATACAGCATCCTTACTAGGCTGCTCTTAGCTCATGATAATATCATAAAAAAATCACTTCACTGTTTATGAAACTTAAAACAAGATTTTTTCCTAGAGAGGTGTTATGCCTTTCATACAGTACTGACCTTTTTATCTGCCACCTTAACAACAGATGCCTCACACAAACAAGCCTACACTCTGACAGACAGCTTCATAGAAAGATGGATTACACACAGGCTAATTAGCTGGAGTAAGAGCGATCCCACCTATCAAAAGAACTAGGCAATGTTTTGTCAAAATATTTCATCACTTCTTGCTTAGAATTCAGGCAACCTCTGAAGATTTCTCGTCTCAGTTGATGCCTTTTCATATCTGTCAAAAGAAGAGACATGCTTTATATTTGGAGTTGGCGTCTGTTATCTCTGCTTATGAGTTGACTCTTCTTATGTGTTACAAATGTCATGTCACGCAGGTTTTGTGCGTCACTTAAGGAGTGGCAAAAAGCTGTGGCATCTTGGTTTATCTGCATTAACATCTGTGAACACAATTACTAGGAACAGTAAATGCTTTTGTGATATAAGGCAACGGAAGGTGTTTGGTGTTGACCTTTGAGGGAAAACATTCTCAGGGGAAAGGATAATTAACTTTTTTCTCTTGAAGAGAGAAAAAGCAATGTCACCTGGATATAACTGTCAAATATTCTATTTATACATACAATCATATGGGAGTGTGTATAAATACAAACAGAATCTTGCTGTGAGCCGAGGTTACTGGTTGCAACTATAAGTTAAAGCTCAATTTTCTGATGTGATTTTCAAATATTAATGCAAAAAAACTCACTAAATGCCAACCTTTTCAAAAGGATGCCAAACAAAACAACAAAGAAAAGGCTTACTCTCCAACTTGATCAAAGCTCAGACATGTCAAAACAGAAAAACAAACACTTCAAAAACAGACATTTATCAGCAGAATTATTACAGTAGAGTGTGACTAAGCTGCATGTAACTTTGAGGGAGGACAGGGCAAAACAGAGTTGAGATTCAGGACAGTGCGTGTTCTCGCTCCCATCTATTACAACCCTGTCTGCTTGTGGAGCTCATCATCCATCATTCTGCACTAATTAGCCTATCAGAGATATGCACAGGTTGCTTCTCCAACAGACCAGTGCATCAAACCCTGACACTGACATGCATTCACAACACACACATATATGTAGGGCTCTAATAAATTCGACAGCAATGCAGGAATACCAGTTTGCTGCTGTTCTGCTGACGTGTCAGTCTAAACTTGGTCACTTTCAGATTACGAGTGTGCTCAGATTGACACCAGACAGGCAAGAAATACTTAAGCTTTGTGAGAAAAAGTGTGCATAAACACAAAAGCAGTTACCACTGCTCTTCATTTAACTCTATCCCATGGCTGACAGGCAGGATGAAAGGCCACTGTGAGCTGCCTGACAAAAACATGGGTTGAGTCAAAGGTTTCCTGCACTACACCATCTGTCTAGATATCTAATTTGGCTGTCACTGACTCACCAAAGAAACACATCCTCCCTTTAAAAAAACACACAGGCACACAAATTTGCTGGAACACACATTAAATTGTGAATCCATGTACAAGCAGTAAAGGCCTAGAGACACACTCAACATACACTAAGATTCTGTAATGTGTGGTTTGTTGAGAAACAATGACAAACTGACATAATGAGTGCTGGGAGCAGCTAATTAAAATGTGTGTGTTTCTCTGTGTGTGTGTGTGTGTGTGTGTGTGTGTGTGTGTGTCACAACCTTTATGTCATCATGAAAGATCCGCTACATTACACAGAGTTTGATGGAGTTCATGATAAAGCACAAGGGAAGAAATCTGACAACCAATTTATTTCACCACTGCAGTATGCGTTTCCCTTCATAGTTATCCAAAACTTTTTTCTGTTTTTTGTTTTAAACTTTTTTTTTTTTTTTGCTTTAATTTCAAGTTGAATATGTAAGCTATTGAAAGCATGTACAGTAAGATTGTTTAAATAGTTTTTCTTAGTTCATGTAATTCCCTCAGGGCCTGTTAGTGTTTTTTCCGCAGGATGTCATCAGGAGGCACACTGCTGCCTGAAGTACCAGGAAATCACTATAATCACCAAGAATAGTATCTACTGTACTGTATATGATACAGTGCAGGCATTAGTGTCAGGTGCTATATTAATGTCAACTACATCTACAGTAATGAAATGCATGATAGTCAGCTAAAATATACAGCATATGTGAGGGGTTTAATGTCACTGTTAGCTGCATAGATGAGGAGAATAACGTGAAATTTAATTACAGAACAAGTGTAATTTGTGTATTTATAAGTTGTTAAAGCAAAGAAGTAAGGGATGCCTATGTCCAGGAGGCAATTGTTGTGTGCCTCTTTGTGTGAATATGTTTGTGTGCGAAAGTGAGCGCTCTTTCTCTGCCTCCCCGCTCTCTCTGCAATGGCCATGTCTGTGTGGACTAAAT